CACTCCTTTGCAGAGCCAAGGACCCACCAACACAAGGATGACTGTTCCCCCCATTCTATTCAGTATTGCTTAATCCGCATGGCTTTGGGGAATTAAAACACTCAGAATAAATCAGGCCGAATGGGCAGTGTCCCTGGCTCAGTGTTATTCAACACAGGAAGTTCTTCAGTTTGTTGGTAATTTCAGCTCTGCATTTGAGCCTTTCTATCCTCCAAATCATTATTCAAAATCCGAGGCTATTTCATTTTTAACCACTTCTTCTAGAACAAGAGCAGGGAAAGGTGAACTATCTGCACTCTCTATAACAGCAAAGAATACACAAGTGTCTCCTTTTTTTAACTATTACCTCACAAAGTGAATGTAAACCCATCAGTCATGTGAAATTATTCTCTTAGGAGGAGACTGACCCTGCAGGGAAATCTTGCAACTCTGGCATTAAGAGAGCACCAACTGCTTCATCAGCAGGCTTCATCTCTGAAGGTGAAGAAATGGCTCTGACCACCTACCATGTGGTACAGAATGTAAGGAGGAAAGTTTACACTACAGAGAACTGCAACCACTAGCTTCAACTCCTCAACCCCATTTTAAACAAGTTCACGTTTTCAGTTCAAGGAGTTCAGTTCAGTTCAGCACCGGGAGCATTTAAAACTGAAGTTTCTAAGTATTTTTAAAAAAATTAATCACTGAATCACAGAATGGTTTGGCTCATCTAATTCCAACCCCCTGCCATGGGCAGGGACACCTTCCACTCGACCATGTTGCTCAAAGCTCTGTCCAATAAACTTTCACCAAAGTATCTACTTTTTCACTGACTGGCTTTCTTCAAGTGTTTTCCCATCACTGCAGTTGGCAGAAGGAACACGCATGGTTTCCTGTTCTTGGAAAATCTCAAACTTTTCTGGGCATTAGATAGTAAGCAATGCATGTGAGATGCATTAATGAGTAGCACAGTGTCAGATGTTTCACAAAATGCTGTAGACAGTGCTTGAGATGCTCTTGGGCGAAGGCAGGAGGGGCGAGGAGGTGGGACACATACACAAAAAACTCCACATCTCTTTTCACAAAGGAAAATCCATATTCAGCAGTGCTTCAGCTGAGCAACCTGTCCTTAACAATAAACATGAGGAGAAAATCATCCCTTGCCCACTCAGAACACTCCAGCCCTGAAATATTCACACTTTACAGCATTGCTTCAGGCAATCAATTTCACTCACACTGAATTTTGTCAAAATAAGTATTTGCAAGAAAGACACTCCCAATATACCTCCCTCTACAACAATCACAACCTTCTCTTCACAAGCTTTTTCCTTTCTAAAATTAACAAACCCTGATGTTCTTGACGCCTTTTTTCATAAGACAATGCACCCATACTCATGATCATTCGTACTGGCCGCTTTTGACAGTTTTAACTCTTCCCTATGACAGGGTGCCTGCCAATCCAGATTTCAGGTAAATAAACCCCCAAAGTCATAAGAGATTTTCCACATTACTATCCTTCTGTTCCTTATACACACATTTAATACAAATTCCCCAAAACCACAGCTTTTACTATTTTTGGGTCTTGAGAGAAGAAAACACCACTGAGATACCCACAATGATGCTTTATATCTTTTTATCTGATTACTTCCTTGGCTCTCCTCGGGATTTACAAGTCTTAAATAGGATGCTTCCCACCAGAATTCAATCTACTAGGATCAGAGCCATCCGTCTTAAAGAGTACATGATCAACAGAAGGTCATCCTCTGAAATCCTCACATATATTTAGAAGGCACACAGATCAGATCAACATCTATCGTTCCACAATGACAGCGCTCAGCATGCAGTCTGTCTGGCTTCTTTCTCAAGTCAAGGATCTAGTGGCAACTGCTATGCAGGCACATTAATCCAGACTATCACACACGTACAAGCTGAAAGATTCTGTCTAACAATGAATTGTGCTTATGTAGTTTAGCATGTTAGAGCTTGATATATTTCCAGTTCTTGAGTTGTTGATAAGTAGCCCAGCTATCAGTCTTGTTTCAGAAGCTGCAAACTAATTTCTACAGATATGCTATTGTTATCTTTTTGCTTTGCAAATACTTTCAAAGTTGAAAAGAATGCAATTTAAGCACAGCAAACAATCTGTTAGCATTAATAGTGTTTAGGAAGTAAAAAAAACATTATTGAATGCCAGCAAAGCAATTTACCAAAGGAAAATCCACTGATACCTACAGTGCCAAAAAGAGGGAGCAGAAACAATGCACACAGCTTTGAGTATTCTGGCTTTCCCATGCCACATTCCCACTTCTCTCTAGTTATCCATCTATTGTATTATAACAAATAATAAAGGAATTAAATGCTCTAGCAATCAAGGCTGGCATATTAAAATGACACTCTGCATTACTGAACCTACTCATCTCTTAATAGAGCTATTCTTCAAAGGAGATTAATTATACTGGCAAGAGACCTTTTGCTATTCTAATTTGTGAAACGTATTTCAATACCACAAGCGTATTAAAACAGCTGCAAACACGTAACCAGCTCCAAGATCCCAGGACTTGCTGCATTTAATTAGATGTTCATCTTGTGACCAGCTCTTTAGTCATTGCTTTAGAAGCCCACTTCTATAAAAACTCTTAACTTCTAGGCTTAATTAACTGAAAATGTAATTAACATAGAGCCCCTACCATAAAGTTTACGGAGATAGGAAAGTGACCATCTAGTTCACTACTGAATACCATCACAGAGGGAGAAATACTGGATTTATAGCTGCATTTCTCTGCTTTAATTCAAAAGCAGAGAATTTAAAATCATGATTTTAAAATAAGTTCTTGGCATTGCGTTTCGTATCAGAACATTTGATAGACAGCACAAATACTGCCATGACAAACTGAAAATGCATCATATTAGTAACACACAGACTTGTAGAATGCAAATAGAGCTTCAGCTCGCTGCTGAGCAACGAGCTAGTATTCCAAATTAAATATCTGAGAATTAATGCTCTGTTGTAAGGCGTAGTTATTTTCATTAATTTAAGATATGAAGGTTCAATGCATTTGACTGCCTTTAGAGAACAGGCCTGTGTTTTAACATATTACCTTTCTTAATCCCCATCAGATTAGTGGTCAGTGGTTGACATGAGCTCAACATGAGCCGGCAGTGTGCACCTTCAGCCTAGAACCCCCACCATGTCCTGGCTGCATCACAAGGAGCATGATCAGCAGGTTGAGGGAGGGGATTCTCCCCCTTGCTCTTATGAGACCCCACCTGGAGTACTGAGTTCAGCTCTGGGACCGCCAGCAAAAGAAGGATGTGGACCTATTGGAGTAAGTCCAGAGGAGGCCATGAAGATGCTCCAAGGGCTGGAGCACCTTTGCTCTAGAGACAGGCTGAGAGAGCTAGGCTGGTTCAGCCTGGAGAAGAGAAGGCTGTGGGAAGACCTTAGAGCAGCCCTCCTGTACCTAAAGGGATCTACAGGAAATCTGGACAGTGACTTTTTACAAGGGCATGCAGTGACAGGACAAGGGGGAATGGCAGAGGGTAGATTTACACTAGATACTAGGAATAAATTCTTTGCTGCGAGTGTGGTGTGGTGCTGGCACAGGGTGCCCAGAGAAGTTGTGGCTGCCCCATCCCTGGCAGTGTTCAAGTTCAGATGGACAGGGCTTGGAGCAATCTGGTCTAATGGAAGGTGTCCCTGCCCATGGAGGGGGTTGTAACTAGATGATCTTTAAGGTCCCTTCCAACCCAACCCGTTCTGTGATTCTGTGATATACTCAGATGCTAAGTTCACACATTCTCCCTTTCCATCGATAAAATCAAATTACAACCATTGTTAAGAACAGAAATTTAAGGCAAACACTAAACAGGCACCAACCTAAAACACAAAACGAATCAGAAGAATTTCAATACAGTAGCATGTCTGAAAACGTTAAGGCTAGAAACACTTCATTGTGAAATCAAAATTAGTGGTAACACAAATGCATGGCCTTTTGAAGTTCGAAGATTTAAGTTTCTTTACATGGCCTGGTGGTGCCAAACTGTCTAGGATCCCCCCCAGAAATTGTAAGGGCTAACAATCTAAGGGCTAGATCCAAGGCACACCCTTTTACTTAAGGGCTTATTGCTTCTAAACAGTCTTACAATGTAATATAAATTTACACGCTTACTCTATAAAGCAGCAAATACCAAAATCTTTTTATTGGAGTAAAACTTGTTATACACGTAACCCTATAGACGTTCACCAAAAAAAAAAAGCTAGAAGCTGTTTAGCAACAATTTCCGTTGCATATATGACTGCTCACAAATAAATAACTGTCTTTTCCTACTCTTACATTTTCTTCTTGCACTTCAGTGATTTTAGATACTTAGAGGTGAGAAGGAACATCTACAGACAAAACCTCTGTTCCTTTTGATCTGCAATTCAGTCTTGGCTATAGCCCTGAGTTTACACACACCCCCCATACAGAATACTGTCTTCTCAGAAATTGCTATTTAACAGATGCAACACTCTTCAAGAATACATTTACTTCACCAAAATCTTTTTGACAAAAACCACACAAAAGAGCAGACGTCAGTTCCAGCATTTCAATTCCTTCAACATTGTCTCTTTCAGCTTCACCCCCCTAGCTGTCCTCTAGGGAAACAGGCAGAGGTAGCTACTCAGAAAGCTGGTTTTCCCAATTAAACTTATTTTAAATGGTCAAGTTCCCATGCTCACATGTGCCCAGGCTTCCAGCAGTATTTTTCTTTTAGGCATCAGGCAGCTTAAGTAGCACCGAGGAGCGTCTCCCAAACCCAAGTTGTTCTTCACACACACATTTTTTTTCCTGCTTTTTGTCAAAGGCAGAACAAATATGTTATCCTCCTAATTCACCGTCTACCCTTTTTCGGGCCCACAAGAACAAAATGCTGCATTCACTGAGCAGGAGCACAGAAAGCAAGGTAAAAACCAAAGCACAGATCACACCACATTTTACTTATAGCACAAAATCATCATGAGTATTCCCAAACTCACTCACCAAGCCAGCAGTAAGTGAAGGAGCAGATTGTCCTAGAGACTGATTTCGCATGCGGACCAGGTTTGAGGTATCTCCAGGTGGCTGCCATACGGTCTGTCCCACTCCACTGTGGACACTATTTGACAAAGGAAGTAGCTGTTTTCCTTTAAAAACAAAACCAAAATACTATCAGCTTGTTTTTAAACAAGTTTGCAAGTTCAAAATACAGTCCTGAAAACAAATATTGCATGTGGAGAAAAAGTACATAATAAAAAAAGGCAATTTAAAGGTTTTGGTATCTTAGAATTTGTAAGAGCACACTACACGTTAATTCATTATGTTTGACACCTAAGTATCTCCAAAAAAAACTAGTTTACATCATGAGGTTATGGGTAAATCCAAAACCTTGTAGAAACAGACTTCTTAATCTTTATAACTTTCCATACTTCACACAACTTAAAAAGGAAACAGTATTTGCTGCCACTTAAGTTATTGTCCTATAGAGACAAAATGTTAATGTTGCAAAATCTCTTAATTTTAGCAATTCTTAGGAAAACACATTCATAATTGTAAAATACGACATCTTCTAAATAGCTTGGCCACCCTGACATCCCCACTTTCTCCTGCCATTGGAACATTCAGCAGTAGATTTCATGCCTAAGATTTAGATTTTGTTTAAAAAATTTCACTCTTCAGCAACATCAGATTATCTTAAAGGCAAAGCATTCTGTAGCTTTCCCAAGTATCCCTTGTACTAGATTGCTCAGAGTAGATACTAATCTCCCATGCTACATACACACCAAGAAAATTTTCCTTAGTCAATATAACATTCCTTTTTGAAAAATGTCAAGCAGTAAAATTTCCACAGTGAGAAAGAACCAAAACCAAAGTAGGTCATATTTTGACTCCATCAAGCTTGACATTTTCCTTTTATGTACAATGCTATTCACAAAAAAAAGAAAAAAGATAAGTCTAGTGGTTAAAAACATGTAAGAGAAAAAGTCTGTAAATCTGGGTCCCATTATTAGCTTCCAGATTAATTTCTCAGTAACCTTGGTCAGACAACCTCTGTACTTCAGTTACACCATTTGCAGAAAGGGTGTGAGTAATACCCCTTTTCCTTAAAATTAGGACTGCAAGACCAAATTACACACACCATTCAACTGATTATCACATGCTCAGATACTACAACAGGAATCATTGGGGACAGAGACATTTGTTGCAATAAGTAGCAGGAAGAAGCCCAAATCTTTAATCACATATACTGTGGAAGAATACTTTTTTTTTTTTCAGAGACAGCAAGCTATTTTACAAATTTGATTTCACCTTAGGATTAGGTGTGAAATAGTCATACAGTTGTTACATAAAAGCAGCTACAGTATTTGAAGAGTGTCACAATGTGATTTGCCATGATGGGGGAAAATGGTGGCTTTTCTTTTTTAACTTGTTAATTTTCTATGAAAGTTACAAACAATGGAACAAGTACACATTAATGGAATGAGTCAAAGCATGAGAAATGAGAAGGCTCAACTATGGCTAGCAGAGACACAGCATATTGGTACCTTTTTCAGCAGTCCCACTAAATCTGCTTGATTTTCATGGCTTGAAAATCAAGACAGCTGTAGACATGATTTTCGTGGCTTGCTCATTATCAAGATTATGTCCTTTTCAACCCTAACTATTCTATGAGGAATAAATACAATGACTCCTCTTCTCTGCAGAGCTTTAAAACAACAAAAATGTACATTATTGCATTTATTTCAGTAAACCACTAACAAAGATTCCCTATAACAGCAATTCAAATCATATAATTATCTAACAGTTCAAAATACCAGTGTTTGAGAGCAAGAATAACATTATTTCAATCTCTTTAAGATGTAATTACCAATATCTCCTTTTTATTCCACAATATCTGCATCCAGGAAGAAGAATTCCAACAAGAGTCAAATCTAAGCCAATCAGTTTACAAGCACAGTCAACTACACTCTTTAAACTCCTTTGGTTCTATTGCAAAAATAAGGTGGAATTGTTTTCAGTATGGAGCTTGAAAAGCCAAAGCCTCTTTCATTGCCATACCTCAAAGTCCTACATACATTCCAAACACCCACATTTAAATCATACACCTAAACATCTACATTTTCATTATCCAGTTGGGTCAAACTAATACTGCTGGGACTCTTTTCCCCCTCCTGAATCAGGCTATAGTAGACTGAAAAATCATTAAGATGAAGCAACAAGTTCTGGAAAACATCATCATTTCAGAACAGAAAATTTATAAGAATGTCACCTACAACCAAAAAAATATTTCTAAAAAAGAAACAGAAATTCTCCAGTTTTCCAGCTTCCTCCAATTTACTTTTCTTTCTTCTACTCAAGGAAAGTAAAACTAACAAACTACAGTATTACCTTCAGCCACTGCAATCAACCAGCAGCTGGGTAGCTAATAAACTTCTGCTCTCCTCTAGTGATTAACCTACCTTAGAGAACAAACCTACTTGAGTGCAAAACATTAATAATGTTTCCATTTTTCAGAAACAAGCCACTCAGTACAAGTAAAACATTAAGAACAAGCCATGCCAAAACAAAACATGCATGCTTTAGTGCTTGTTTAGTTCCTAAACACCTAGCACCTCAAACATCAAACAATTCATCTTCCCCCACAAAAAACAGAGGGACCAGGACTGGATGTATTTTTACAATCTTCTAAGTCAAGCCCATGCTGCTGCCAAAATGGGTGGTTTCACCCTCTTCCTCTTTCC